TTCTTCATTGGTTATATACTATTTAATCTTTTTCCTAATGGGTGCAATAATTTTATGACATCATTTGGGTTTGATTTAAGGTCTAATTTTGTGTAATGAATGAAAGTAGCTTGGCTATTAAACTTTCCGCCCGAGTACACCCACATATAGTCTTTGACTGGGATAGTTATGGAAAGACTATTTAAATTATACAGCTATTTTTACTTTACAAAATGTATCATAGAGCTCATTGGGGAAACTATTTCTATTTTTTAGATAATAACAATTTCAAATAACATGTTAATGTCTTTCTGCTAAACTATATGCTTTGTTATATTCGTTTTTGTCACACTGTTTGATCTTACTACATTTTTTGTAAATGAATTAGCTATTATTCTTAAGTAGTCTTATTACAATCATTTTTTTCAATTTCAAAAATATTTGTGTTTATATATCCAGGTTTTTACATTTTATTTTCTGGGCTCATACTCTAATAAAATAATCACTCACATGTAAAAAAGACTTGACCCCAGAACTAGAGATATTTCGTGTGTGTGTCCTTTAAATAATATAAAGATCTTTATAGTCAATTTCCTTTAGAAGAAGTCAGTAAACCACTAAGTTAAAACTATATTCTAGGTGTTTCCATCCTGTTCTCTCTCCCCGACTTATTTTGTACAGAGCAGAAAGAAATCTTAGTGACAGAAACCCTATGTAGCTATTTTGCTGGTCAGGGTTTTGAAGAGAATCAGAGCCAAAAGACTCTATTTTGATGACTGGTAAATCCCAAGACTTACAGGATGTATACAAGCTGGGTACCCAAGAAGAGCCAGTATCCCCTTTTGAGTTGAAAATTAGGGAAAAACCAGTGTTTCCATTCAAGTCAGTGTGACAGGGAGCATTTATTCTCTCTCACTAAGGCAAGGATCAGCCTTGTTGATCTAGCCAGACTCTCAACAGATTGGATGAGACCCACCCATACTAGGGAGGACAGCCTGTTAACCTCAGTCTCCCTGATCAAATGTTAATCTTATCTCCAAAACAATTAAAATAGTAGCTCATGAAATGTTTGTACATTTGGTGTTCCAGCCAACTTGACACAAAAAATTAACAATCACTGTAAGAAAAGTCACCTAAAGTGCTGTCTGTTTTAGGGTTTTATATCTTGTATTAATCAAAATGATTCAGTTGGGGCTGGTGGGTAGCTGCTGCAAGGAAAAAGAACTGGCCTTTTTCATTCACCTAAGTTCATTTTGTCTAAACCCCTCCCCTGCTGATTTGGCCACAAGAGTCCAGGATGTAAGGAACACAGCTTAAGAACCCTTGATCTATTTAATATTCTGTTATGCATTATATATATAAACTGTAAGTTTAGCTGCTCCTCCAGTTCTTCTGTGACTCATTCTTTGTTCAGTTATTTCTCTTCATCCTGCATAGAGTTTCTTTAAAAATGTCGTCCATTTAGCAGTATGTCCTATATTGTAGAAAGTTTGGGGGCTCATAATGACCTCCACAAACTAAAAATTTTACTGAAGAGAAAAAGACATGTTTTGACATAAACAAAGTAAAACAAAACTAACCAGTGCACCATAAGGTTATTTCCAGAAATCTGTCTGAATGTTTCATTAAGAGTGAAGAACGTCACGCTTTCCAGTTGAGACGTAAGGATCCATGAACTGTTCGGTTTTTCTCAAGTAGGCTTCACAATCACCTGTCTCCTTGGAGATTTATTTTATAAGACTCACACAAAGGGAAAGAGGATGATGGCAGTAGGTGCCAAAAAATGTTTAATGTGTAAGATGCCTAAGCATATTAATATTTAAATAGTCAGTTTTACTATTTTTTTGCCTAAAAATCTGAGTTTACCTGTTGGCCTCTTGGAGAATTGAAAGGGGTTGGAGACAGGCTAGAGGATTTCTTTTAGAGCTAGAACTCTAATGGGTATAAAGCAGTGACTTCAAAAGAGACTTACATGTTGAGCAGGGTAGTAGATTTTCCCGGAAGAAAGTTTTGTTGTTACTGTTATAAGGCAGCCATTGAAGGAGAAAGCTTTTGAAAGCAGAAGCTGTTGCTATTTTGAGTAAAATGAGAAAGTTTATAGATAGGAAAGAGGGTTGTAAATGTCTTTCTGTGTATTAAAAAGTACATTTACACAGCTCATCTCCTCTGCCATTCACACCGAAGGCTTGGGGATGATGTCTAATTATTTAAAGACGATGTGTAGGCTTATGTCTGATTCAATGACATGTTGTTCCACATAACATTCCTTGGGCCGAGAGATACTTGTCATACCAAAGAAAGCCTAGCAATGAGCTTATAATCACTGCATAATGCATCTCCCATAACCATAGGTCTCAGAGACAGTAGAATAAGATTAATCATAAAAGGTTAATTAAGCACCACTTTAGGAAAAAAAAAAAAATCCTTTGGGTTAGGGTATTTTGCTCCAGGATGAGCCAAATCAGAGCTGGTATAGAATGTTCACCTAGAGAGCTAGAACTGACAATTCTGGGGGGAAAGGGTGAGCTCCCATTCCACAATATCTACTTGTAAGTTTTTGCTTCCTTCTCTGCAGCCTTGCACGTTGCCACTTTAAGCTGGTTCTTGAGGTGTGGGAAGAGGCTGTTTTGTCAGGGAACCCACTAAGAGTTCCACTTAACTGGTAGCTATGAATGATTCTGCATGGGCTTGATTAGCAAGATTCCTCACTACTGGACCAGCAGAGATAGGGAGCGATATTATGCTCAGCACCATGAGAAAACAGGGCTGCTGCTTCACAATCAGAGCAAAAAAGAAGAAATATGCCTGGAACTGAGAGGCTGAAAGGTTCCCATGCCTAGATGTGGATGAAAGATTGCTACAGCCAAGACTTCCAGCATCAAGGAATCTAAAGGCCTAATGGCCAGAGATTAAGGTCTGGGTCATCTCAAAGGCAGCAGCCTGGATCAGTGATGGGCCAGTGGAGCATGAGGAAAATCTGGGAGAGCTGCTAGGGGAGGCTGGTGATCAATAGTAATTAAGGTCTCAAAGGTCAGCTAGAGGGCTGGTAGCTCTGACGGCTTCTCGTGGCCTAGGAGACTGGCCATAACTTTGTAGCCCACCGCGTTGGCTGGGGTTTCACTGTTAATTGCCCCCCATCCTCCTTTCCCACCTCCTTTTTAATTATTTTCCCTTATGGGGAATCAGAGATAATATAAGTTGTATATTTACAGTGCATCTGTTGGTATTCAGTTAACCAATATTTTCATTTTAGTTGTATATCAAAGCCTAAAAGTTCATATATTAAGTTGATGTACCGCACTTGCTAGCTATTTCAGATTCAGTCTAATTGTTCATATTTTGCTGGACTTGAATATCTCAAACTTTGGGAATTCCCTGGTTTGGGGTTGTCATTTTGCCTGAATTTGAACCCCCTACCATTTGAGTGCCAGGGAACTTAACTTTCACAGTTCTTCCGTCCAATCTCTCTTTGGTCATGAGTTTCTCTCACTGTCATTGTTTATTGATTAATGACCCCTCGTGAGTGTTTTGTGATGAAAGCTAATCTATGAAAGAGTCAAGAATGAGATTCATGTTCATCATAAAGACCTCAGATGAAAAGATGCAGTCAGAGTATATCACGTCCCCACTGAAACAAAACAAAGGCAGCTACAAACATTTCAAAGCAAGTCACATTTTTGCACATCATCCATTATTCTCTCATTTAATAGAACGTTAAAGATTCTACAACTTCTGAATTTATTAGCTTGGTATTTAGCATGTTTCATCGCCAAAATAGGGAAGAAGGTTCATTATTGCTGGTTAAATTAGCCTCATGAAAATGTTGTTGGTAAAGGTTACAGAAATGACTAAGATATCTAACCAAGCAGCATATTAGACCATTTATCATTATAATTTAAAAAGGCATTCTGATGATTTAAATTAACTTGGCTAAAGGGTAGAGAATGAGATAAAAGTTAATAATTAAAACCTAAATGGCATGATTTGCTCTTCATTTTGATAAAGAAGGGACAAAATACATGCAGACAGCATTTACTTAGGCTGTGCCCTGGTGAGAAACTGAACCCAATAAAATCAAACCTGTGCATACCATTTATGGCCTTTATTTGACAAGGATCATAGCTATTACTACATATCTCAATATCTTATCTTAATGATCTGAGTATTTTTCATCTCCTTAAGACATTTTATTTCAGATAATCGAAGACTAGAATTTAGCTATTTTCCTATAGAAATTTTAGTGTTTATTTATTTATTTATTTTAAAGATTTATTTATGTATGCTTACAAGAACTGGGGTACACGTCAGAGGTGTGGGGGGAGGGAGGCAGTGAGAGGATTCACCAGAGACAGAGTGGGGAGCAGAACAGGCAGATGGGCTGAAATGCACTGCTGAGGGGAGCAGCAGTGTGTCAGGAGAGGTCTGCTGAGCCCTGTGGGTCACCCCCCAGCCAGGGATGGGATTGATGGTGCAGTGGCTGCAGGTAGCTTCATAGCGCTGTGCTTTGACCTGTTGCATCACCAGGGAAGGCCCTAGTGTTTGTTTATTTTTAACTGAATGGCCATTATAGGTGTTTTTAAGATAACTTCTATTAAGGTAACATTGATTTACCATACTTCTATGATTCCAAAATATAGGCTTTCATCTCTTCATATGTGTTGTATGTTACCATCTTCCCTTTCCTCCAAGGCACCTATAGCCCCCCACCACAGTTCACTACAGGTGCTAAGCCTTTACCACCTACTATACCTGTATCAGTAAATTTGTTTCTCTCTATATACGTACAAACTCTTTATTGTGTGACCAACTCATACCTTCTTTTGTGTTAAAAAGCATACCTATTCATCTCCCTAACTATCTAAAGAATTTTCTTTTTTTACAAATTAAAAAAAAATGGTTTAGCTTTCTAAAAATGATAGAGAACCATTTCTCTTCTTAAGCCTGTAGCCCTGCTTAAGTGCACAGTGTCTGTGACCTTAAGATCAAAATAAATATTGTCTTCTCTTTTCCATTTTTAACAGAAACCAGGAGCTTAAAGAACTTGGTGAGCTTTCTCCACACTGGGACAATCTCCGGAAAAATGTACTAACTCACTGTGATCAAATGGTGAATATGTATCAAGATATTCTGACAGAACTGAGCAAGGAAGCAGGTAGGGAAGCCACAGCATCACATTTCAGCTGAACTGCATTTCGTGGGTGCTGTGTGGAAGCAACATGAAATCTGGTCATGGATGTGGAAAGCCAAATAGTTTTTAAAAAGTGTCCAGTTTCCCACTCTACCAGCTTTGTATCAAAAAACAAGCAAGAAAAACAATACTATTTTACCTCATGGTATTATTATTGAAAATTTTTGGAAATTGGATTTTTGACAAGAAACACAACTTAAACCAGAGGGCTTGACCATTTTTCTATGTCAGATGTATTTACTGTCCCACATATGCACACACACACACACACACATACACACACTTATTACTAAGTATTTATTTCTTTCCACCTAGGGTCTTCTTTCAAATCAAGCAGCAGTAAAGGAGAGAAAACACTGGAGTTTGTTCCTGTAAATCTGCATCTGCAAAGAATGCACGTGCACAGCCCCCACCTGAAAGGTGAGATCTCCCAGGAGACTCTTTTTTAAAAAATGGACACATGTTACTTAAGTGTGCTTCCTTAAGAAGCTTGACAGCTGACAGAATTCAAGAAGTTAGCAGGTGTTTTCAGGGGACAATGAAACCACCGAGGCTGGTAATGATCCCAAGTGCTGGAAATGGGATAATTGTATTTCTGTTGCCGCATTTCTGAGCAACAGTTTGTGCATGTGGTACCTGAACTGAGTTTCAAGTTCAATATATGCAATACATGAATATGCAAAATGAGCATTAGCTTTTTGAGGCAGCATCAGTGATGGCAAACAGGTGCCAGTCACGCTGCTGTTGGAATTAGGAAAATGGTGAAACAAGATGTTAGTTTTTGATGTGTCTTGAGCGAACCAAACCCAAAGGTGAATTCATAGGCTGAGTCTCCAAGCTAGTAGTGATGATCACCACAATCACCCCCCTTCCTTCTGAGAAAGGGACTCGTCAGCTGGAAGGTGGGAGGGTATTTTGAGACTTTCGTTGTGAGCGACACTTTTTCAGGGAGATGCACAGGGATCTTCACAAGCACTCTCTGCTGATGGTCCAGAGAGAATAGTGTGATGCAGAGTCTTTGCCGTTCTACACAATTCCCTATTCCTCAGAAGAGATTGTAAAATATTCTTTTTATTTCCCTTATTCTTTCATTTACTGCTCCATCAGTGCTTATGTATATGTAGGGCCACTCTATGCCTGTGATTCCCAGTAAATCCCGTATTATGCCTGGTGTCCCCGCGTCAGAGCTAATGGTGCCCTTCACTTCCACTGCATTCCTGTTTGAAAGAGAAATGTTTTGGTGATCCTGAAAGTTCCCATCTTTCTAGAGAGCTAAGACTTAGTCATCAGTCCTTTGAGATAAGTGCACCAATGCACATATTCAACACACACAGCTGCAAATAAAGCTGCATCCTAATTCTTTATTTTGTAGTCTTTGTTACTCTGTGGAATTTGTAGATTTAGAAAGGTTAAAAGGAATTTTTTCTCTGCCTTAATCTAAAGTTTTATTCTGAAAAAATGTCAACATTTTGCTAAGTTTGTGCATATTGGCTTGTATAAACACAACCAGCTAATGGGAAGTTTAGCAGTTACAATCACTGTGATATATAATGTTATTATTGCTGGTAACCCTTATCAACTGTCTAAAATTTTAGCTTGAGTTTTTTTTTAATTAAAATTTACATCAAATGAAGAGCTGAAATAAAAATGAGATTAATTGGTCCAAGCTTGGCATTTAGAAATTCTACATTGATTACTGGTATCTATCAATAATTTGAACATAAATATGTAATGGTTTTCAAGAGGATCAAAACCAAAGTGCTAACAAGTAATAAAGAAGTTTAAATGCATAAGAGCTATCTGACAACCAATGTATTTTTTTCCTAGTGATCAATATAAGAAGACTTATAAAATACATTAATAGTTTATATAGTGGAATAGAACAGTCCTGAGTTTGATATACAGCTGTACCTCTTTTTATTAATGACCTTAAGTCCATTATTTAATCTTTCTGTGTAGTGTTGTTCTCCATCTATTAAGTAAATTAGAGTTTGTAAAACCTCTAGGTGAACTTCATAGTTTATACAATACATGTGTCATTCACTACCACTGGAACAAAATGGATCTGTCAGTTTTATCAAAACTGCTAAACTGAAAAATAATCAGTTAATGTGAATCACATACTGATTGTATATTGATTTTTCCCCAAGACCACACTTGTGTATTCTGTTATAGATCTAAATATATAGAAAAGTAGGTAAATAGATAGGACGAAAGAGAGAAGGAAAGGAAGAAAAAAATATAGATACAGTGATAGCTAATTTCTATTTCTATATCTATGTCTATGTGTGCTATACAATATGTATAATGAAAAAATATGAACCTTATGTGTTTTTAAAATATTTTCTTAGTACTTAGTTTAAAAGTTATTACTTCAAATAAGCTTAAATAAATGAGGAGTGTTTTAGGTTAGATCACCAACTGTATGTTCTAATGTAAATTGAAAACTTGACTAACCTTTGGAACTCACATCACTTATTCTCTCTGAGAATAAATTAATGATCTCTCTGAGCTTCAGCTTTCTTCTTGGCAAAATAAAATGATCCAAAGTTGTACATGGAAGTCATTAAAATTGTTTGCTTGCCTATATAACATGTATTTCAAAGATTTTGAATGGTAGCTAAATTTATTTATGATCCATGGTCACTGATTTGAATGTTTCGATGAATTATAGACAGCAATTTGCAAGGCAACAGTGCAAGTAAGACTGGCCGAGCTGTGGTATTTCAGTGGTGAGTTATTGGGATGAAGTCTATGTTCATTTTTATTCTTACCATTAGTAAATTGCATCTACCCACATTTGATTAATATGTCTACTGTATTTGGAGAGGCAACTTTGCAAACAATAGTGGGCAGATTCTACCAACTACAAAACTAATGTCTAGTGCTTGAAATAAGTAACTGAGCAGAACTAATGTTTGTCATGTCTCATACTGACAAATGAAATAGCCCCCATTTAACTTTAAATGCCCCCAGAGCCATTAAGGTAATTTTTCATCCTTATTCATTACTTAAAGTAAGTTCAACAAATAGGGCACCATCACAGCAGGAGAGCAGGACAATAAAAGCAAAACACTGAAGTTAAGAATACAAGTTCTCAATCCAGTGTGTTCTATAAATGTTATCTTCATAAAAAAACAGATGTGGATGTTTTAAAATATGGATTATTATAATGTTTCGATATTCTATGTTTAAGTAACTTTATTTTGTAGATATACATGCTATATATATTTCTACAACATAAAACATATGTCTATGTATCTATATGAAAAGATCTATCTATCTGCACACACACTACACACATGCACACGTGTGCGTATGCATACAGAGAGAGAGAGGGAGAAATGAAGGAATGAGAGGGAGGGGAGGAGGAAGAAAGTCTGCTATTTTATATTATGAAACTGAAGCTAGCATCAAATGTCACAGAGCTGTGACCGTGGATGAATCAGAACTGTCTATTCTCTTGGCTTCTCATCTCTACACTGAGAGAAGGAACAAACACGAGGAACTATTTAGAGCTCCCTGATTTCTTTATCTTAAAAGCTTGGGTACATTGGCTCATCAGTGATGTGTATCTTTAGGTATGTTTAACGATGATGTTAAATTGCTTGGACTATTTTGAAACAGATTTCCCCTCAAAATCCCTATTGTCTTGTCATTTATGTCAAAGATCTTTTGTGAGCATTTTGAAGTCAAGGATTATACTTAATTTGTTCCTTGAAATGAGATCAGCATGTCTACATTTCTTTCATTAGCACTATTTTTATAGTCATAGGAATTTTAAAACAATATTATGGGAAAAATAGACTAATTATCTCATTTCTATTATTGAAAGACCACAATGCAGCTCTACTATTAAATTTTTAAACCAACCTAGTCTTTAGTTTGATGAGACTTAACAACTTGAATTTCACTCCCTGGCTATGGTGTGTACTATGCCATTTTTACAAGGCTGAAGAAATTTTTTTGAGTTACAAAATATCAAAGAAAGAAGACACAATTTTCTTTTCAAGAAAGAAAAAAGACCTTGCCTTTTTGCTTAAATTTTCTATAAAATTTCTGTCCACCTAGAGTTTTAGAATTTTTTTTTTTACTATGAAAAATCTGAATGAATGCTTTTATTGTATACCTCTAAGAACTATTCATAGCACCTACACGCATAACTGGGAGAACATGATAAAACAAAGGGCATTTTAAAATGATGAGATAACTATTACTGATTGTATTGTTGTCTTAGATTTAAAAGTACATAATCAGCTCTCTGCGTTAAGGTTAGTGGAGTGTGAGCTCCTTGCGTCTCTTCCTTCACCCACTGCTGTAGAGTTGCTTGGCTCCTTATAGATGTTAGAGTTCCTAAGTCAGTGAGGAAATGGATACAGGAGACATTTCTGTTCCTGCTTTGGGAGATGATGACACTTTAGATGAACTGCAGAGACAGAATCTTCATGAAGCTAAGAAAGCTTCAGTTCAGGGTCTCTCTTGCGGGTTGTCCTCTTAGGAGGCTCGTCAAGGAGCTCTAGCCACATGCTTGTGTCTGATGTTCGCGCCAATTTTGCAGAAGTGACTTCAACCTCCTGCAATTAAGACTGTGCCCTCTTTCTACTCAAGATCCCCACCACCACCACCACCCGACTCTTCCCCTTTGGCTGGGGGTGAATCCTCAGGTTTGTTTGGATTCAGTGGGGATCCTACAGTTTTTTTTTGTTTTTAACTGGGTTAGGGATGCATTTAGCGTGAACTTGGTGCGACCTACGAGCGCAGGTTTCAGTTAGCGCTCTCTCTGTCGGTGTTGCTAGTGGGCCAGGATTCAGCAGAAATCTCCTGTGTTTTGCTGCAGCATCAGGATGGTGTTCCCTTTACTTGAGATTGATACAACAAATGACTGTCACTCAGCCTAGTATCACTTTTCTTTTCAGACTGAAAAGTATTTTTATGGAGACATAGCAAAGGCTAAGACAGCGTCTTTCTTTGTACATTTGGTGTGAATACTTCTTATAGGGAAAATGTTTATAAGAAACCTTGCCACTTTTAACTGCTTCCAAATCCATTTCTACCCGGGGCAAATGAGCAAAGGGGTGAAGTGGTTTCCCCTACACCACACTATGGACAGCCAGGATTCAAGCCAGGGACTCAGGTACCAGTCAGTCATTTAAACCACTGGCTCTCCATCCCTGGGGGCAATCTCATCAGAATAATAAAGATGAAATAGAATTTAATGTTAATAACATTTGGGTTTTGTCACAACTATTTGAGAAAGCAGTGACCCCTTTCCACAAAATAAAACAGATGCATTTCTGCAAATTGCCTCAATTCACAGACATACTGAACCCTTTTTCTTAGCCATAGGTTAGAACCTAAAATATGGTAACAATTTTTTTAAGGCTTTGTTGTAGTTTAGTTATATTCTGCTGTTTTAAGACAAGTTTAATTTATAAATAACTTTTGAAAAAGGCAAAAAATTCCCACCCCACCTATCTATTAAGTAATTGTTCAACATTTATCTTGTTGATGAGTTGGTTTAGGCTGTATTATAGGGTTTTCTTTTCTGTGTATGTGACCTTGAGTTCTCTGCATGCTGCTCAAGTCTTTTACTTTAGGACATTTTATATTAAGAAAAATTTTCAGGTTAATTTGGTCTGGTCCACTATAAAGAAGCTATAGTGTTTACCTGAAGCTAATAAAATAATGTATGTTGTTCCTGTACAGGAGGTGTGAAAAACCATCAATGTGTCAATACCAAAACCAATTTGAAAAGAATCTACTATGAAACAAGGTTTCTCAAATAAAATGTAGTTTAACAAGAAGGCATTCATTCTTCTTCCTGTTTATGGCAATATTTTTTATTAGAATGAAAAAATGATGGTATGTTTTAAATCCACAGACTTAATATCTATCAAACTTGATATTTTCCAAAAGATCAAAGGATTGAATTTCAATTTAAATGTATGGATTTTTGATTAAAGAAGCAACATCTTTCTGGAAAATAGATCAGGAGACATTTTGTGTAGTCTTTCTGTCACCTAAGAAAATTGCAAAAGCATACATTCAAAATTGTGTAAGATTTAGTATACACAGGCAGGAAACAGCTCCATATATATATATAAACACATGCACACACACACACACACACATATATATATATATATATATATATATATATATATATACATACACACACACACTCATACTGTTCACTGTTCTGCCATGGAGTCAAAATGCATTAGCAATTTGGCTTTTTTTCTCTGTAAATTTTGGTTGAAAGATTGTTCATTATTGCTGAATCTCAATGTGATTGTGAATTAAATGATGCAAAACTCAATAAAGTAAAATACACAAAAGACCAATTAGCTTGTTATCTCAGTAAGTATATAGAAGAATGAGAGAACATACTGTTCTACACAGTAGCATATAATTAAGATGTAGTCATAAATCAAGGAAATATTATAACTTGTTTAGGTGCACAGGTGGCCTTTAGAAAGATTGATTAGCTCCTCTTGCCCCCTTGAGAGGTGAGTCCATAGTGATTCCTGCAAAGTTAAAAAGAATAATTTCTCAAACTTCCCTCAGAGTGTATATGCTTCAGTACAAACAGCGAGCAGGAAATGGATGCAGGAAGGTGTTCATGTCCTTGTTCCTTCCTGTTCCAGATGCTCTCTACGATGTGATCACGGTTGGAGCCCCAGCCGCCCATTTTCAGGGATTTAAGAATGGTGGTCTCCGGAAACTTCTCCATAGGTTTGAAATGGAAAGAAGAAAGTAAGTGATGGCAAAATATGTCCGTGATATAAGAGTTTTTGAACTTCCCAAAAATGCTTGGGCATTCTCTTTTGTTTAAGAATGCATACTATTTTTTAAAATTTATTTATTTATAACTATAGAACTGGGGTTACAGGCCAGAGGTACAGGGGCAATGAGAGGATTCACCAGGAACAGAATGGGGAGCAGAACAGGCAGATGTGCTGAAACACACCGCTGAGGGGAAAAGCGGGAAGACAGGAGAGGTCTGCTAGTCGTGTGGGTCACCTCCAGGGCGGGAATTGAACTCCTGCTGAAGTGTCTTTAGCTTCTTAATGCTGTGCTTTAACCCACTGCACCACCAGAGAGGGCCCCACATTCTCTACTTTAATTACATTAGAATAAGTGAAATACATTAGTGTATTGCTTCTACGGGAGTCCTGTGCTCATATAAAAGAAATCTTCTCTGGAAGATGTGTGACTAAAAGTTAGGAGGAATAATGTTTACACAGATATAGTCTGACTTAACTGTGATGCTGGGGATGTGAAATGAAGACCCTGGGTCCTAATGCCTGACCCTCCCTGTGGTAGTGATTTCTGGGGTATCTGATGCCATGTACTGGCCTGTCGTGTCGATGACTCATGCTATGATGCAATGTTCGCATAGAATTCTATCAGTTCTGCCCCTTGTGGAAAAGACATGGCAATAAAACCAAACTATTACCATTGCTATTTGTAATTTAAATATATACTTTCTTATTTTTTGACTTCTTATTTTCTACTTTTGAATATTACTATAAAATACTGTTCTGACCACACACAGGTAAATCATCAAGAGCATTATCCAGGTGTGAAGGGAAACTTTTCAAATAGTTAATCTTCTTAAGTAAAGAGCCTAAATTTGTAAACACAGGGGAAAGTTATTCTTCATCATAGATGGTTTACTAATGATACTAGAAAATCTGGCAAAATTAGAAGCTTTGAAGAAAGTTTTATTACATCATGCATTTGTTAAAGTCCAGATATTCAGAAACTATTAAAAGTTAGAATTGAATAACTGATACACTACTACATAAATGTGTAAGTTAATGATACATGTATTTTCTTGTTTAAAATTAGCATATTTTATTGTAATACTGTAAATAACTCAGCTACAGTCCTAATTCAGATTTCTCTAAATTTTTTCTTTGTTTTTGGTGGAGAGGGTATAGAGTTCCAGGAGACTATATCTCACAGTTCCCGGTTAGAGAAATTATCAGGTGATCATCACAAAGAACTGTGCCAGAACAGCCTCCTTCAGGTTACCTCTTAATCATCACACCTCCTGCCCAGCTAGGGTACCCCTTAATCATTGCACCTCACCCTCTTTCTGTTGCAGAAAGCCTCTGTCACTGTTAGGACAATAGGAATAGAATTCAAGTTCTATCCAGGGGCCCTGAGGGGAGGGGCACTTCCTGTTCATTCATACAGCTTCAAAGGCCATCCCAGGTGGGGGGGGGGGTTTGATGAATCCTGACACAGGAATGGGGTGGACAGGGGTAGAGTTTTCGGCCCTGGTGGGGAGAAGTGTTTCTCTATGATCCTTGGTGCACTGTCCTTTGAGTAGGGGAGAGGAGAGCTATTTTGTGCCAGTCGCCACACAGCCAGGAATGCTCAGTGACTCTGTTCTGTCTGGCCACCCTTCCCTTCCCTGGTCCTTCAACTCATCTTTTTTTTTTTTTTTTTTAATTATTATTTATTTATGCATACAGAACTGGGATACAGGCTTGAGGTTCTGGGGGGTGAGACGATTCACCAGAGACAGAGGGGGGACCCGGACAGGCAGATTGAATGAAATATACTACTGAGGGGAGTAGTGGGCAGGTCAGGAGAGGTCTGCCACCCCTGGCCCAGGATAGAACTCATGACACAGAGACTGTGGATAGCTTCATAGTGCTGAGACTTCACCCCTTGTGCCACCAGGGAGGGCTCTTCTTCTTTCTTTTATAACACCCACAAGAGATAACCCAGATCTTTTGGGTCAGTTTTATAGGAAAACTGCCACAGTCATTGTACTACTTCACTTCCATTTCTCATCTTCCCTGCTAAAGCAGTGCAATACTGTCATCTGAGAATAGGCCTAAATTCTGTGTCTCTTCCTTAGTGTTCTATTCTTTCAGGAAAACATTGACCACATAATGAAAAAGTTTTTAGCATAAGAGAGATTTACTTGTAGTATCCATAGACCGTAATTCAGATCATAAAATGTGCATTTTAAATGCCACAAGATAATTAACTGATCCTTAAAGCATAGACACTCCCCTGTTCAGGGGACATCCAAGGAGCTCACCTCATCCACCTGACGTTCAAAATCTCTCGCTCTCACCCACCACCTCGACTTCTATCACCTCCTCTCCTCTGTTACTCTTGGCTTCTTGGCAAGCTGTTTTCTTCACGTTTCACACTTCCCACCTCTCCTTTCTTCACAGGAAACCATACAACGCTTGTTTTCCATTCCTTTCAGAACAGTTTATATAAACCTATTCAAAATTCCACACATTTCATCCTAGAGCCTGTTCTGTCCATTCAGTCTTCCTGACGTCTCCAGGTAGTTTTATTTTCTGTCCAAATATTTTGTTTTCATGTCCCTGACAGCCTATTAAATCACACTGCTGGTGTTTTCGGTTTTGATCTGTTTGTTCCATAGCAGTTTATCACCACCGTGAGTAAGAGATGGCCTCTTCTTCAATTTTGGCCCTTCTGGAGTATGTCACCGAGTACATAGCATACAAGCATTCTGAAGATCAAATACAAACCCAATGAATTCACAAGTGAATCAGAGCCTCTGATTTAAAAGTACAGTAAACTTCAATGAGAGCTAAAGTTTCACAAATACAATGCAACAGGATCCATGTTAGAAAGAACTGGATTCTCAGTCTTGCTTGCAAATGAGAATCATCTTTGGTACTTTAAAATATTTCATCTGTTCCAAAATATCATACCAGACATATTAAGTAAATTTCCCTGGGAATGGGGCCCAGGATTGGTAGGTTTTAAAAGCTTCCCAGGTGAGACTAATGTGTAACCAGGGTTGACAACTGCAACAGAGACATAAATAAATAGTGCTAGGAGAAGACAAATGAAGCAGAGAGATTAGAGATTGGAGACAGGAACAGTGACGCAGATAATTTTTGAAAAGTAGGATTTATGACTTGAAAAATGTGCAGACACTCAATTGATTTGTCATGGGAGGAAAGAACATTTACATATATGAGTACTTGTTAAAGTAAAGGTGAAATGTATTACAACTCATTTACTTGCAATGTTTGCTTAAAGAATCTCAAACTCATTAGACAATTGTAAAATGGAACCCATGATGACAATAATACTGGAAGAATTTTGATCTGAGAAAACTTGGGTCTCACAAATATGGGAATGGATATTATTCATTGTTATTTGTTTTAGGGTTTCAATGTGGAACCAATAGTCTAATTACACACACACAACCAAAAAGAGATACTCATTGTGGACAAGTGATAGATCTCCCTCTTTACATAGATTTTAGTCCTGGTTCTGGAATTTATAAACTTTTTAATTAGCCAAATTTTCATATCTCTCTGTACCTTAGTTTCCTCATTATAAAGTAAAAACAAGATTCTTAAGAAGATTTGAGGACTTCATATACACCGAATACTTATAATAGCCCTCGTTTATAACATTCAATCTTATTCTGAAAACTTAATAGGCATTTGCTATTATGAGGTAAAGTACATATTTTTTCCTTTCATTCATTCAGAAAAATCTTATGACAACTTCTCATTGGAATACATTTAGACTTCTTTTTTTCTACAATCTTCAGTAAGATTGTATTGACTGAATGTAGCATAATTGTCTATCCAATGTACTATTGATCATTTAGATTGTTTCTAACTTTTTGCTATAGCCAACTGTGTTTGCAAGGTACATCCTTATTTTCATGCCCACAAATGTGTGTTTACTTTTGACAAATTCCAACAATTAGAATTTCTCAATTAAGATGTGGTTAAATTTTAGAGATATTGTCATATTGACCTCCAAAGAAGTTGTGTCACACACGTAATATGACTAATTCCCCATGACATTTTTGAGCACTGGGCTTCAGACACCATTGGCGAGAAGCCCAGACATAGCTGATGAGGTTCACACATATATTTACAACCATTTATCAGATGGTTACTCATTAATTGTATCTTCCAAATGCCTCAGAGTCAACCAATTAAGTAATATCTCGCTCCTTCCCCTCAAACTTCTCTTGGGCATTCCTTTTCTTTTTAAAATTATGTTTATTGAGGTAACAATCATTTATAACACTGTATGTGTTTTCCTTTACACCTTTACAATGTATGTTACTATACCATACCCATCACTAAAGCTCCCACAATCCTCTGCTGTAGTCCACTGGTCCCCTTCCCTATTGGCACCCATCCTCCACCCTCTCCTTCAGTAGCTCAGTAAAAGGCATCACCATCTACCCAGATTCAAATTAGAAACCTAAAGATCTGACTACTTTACTCCTCTTGTTTCCAATTCCAAAAAATAGAAATAAGTTCTGACAGTTTTTCCTTCTTGTTTCTAACAGAGTCATTCATTTCAACATGACATTATAGTTAGAAGAATTCTAACCCCCAGAATTACCATTCCTCTCCTTCCAGGCTGGCTCTGGTCCAGTCTGTGTTTCTCACTTTGGTTGGAGTAATAGTTCTGAACAACTAATGCTGCCTTGTGATTTCATAATTTTCAACATTCCTTACCTGTCTCTTGCCTTGAGGTGATGGAGCAAGACATATATAATGCACTCATATGCAGTCTGGCTCTGTGTTTTTCTCCAGCATCATGGCTTACACACACGTTGTCAAATCTTCCCCGCATGTTCACTTGCTCAGGTTCGGCACTGCGTGGAAGTCTTGGCTAGACCGTTCTGCGTTCAGCCTCCCATGAGCAAACATCCCCTGTAGATGTGTATGCTACGAGGGAGGGCCCGTATCTCTCTGGTTTACCACAGT